AGACAGTAGGCAATGGTTATTACTCCACTGCAAATTAAGAAAATCACAAAACTTTATGGTTTGTAACAGCCATTTCCGCATACATTGCACTCAATGTCCAATCCGGAAGACACAGTAAATAGCCTACAACAAAAGCAGGTGCAATGCAGGGAATAGATGCAGGAATATATCATAGATATCATGATAGCTACGATGCAGAAGGCAGGGAACACTCCAGTCTATTGAGGAAATCATAAACACAAGTCTAGTCTTTGATTTGAATCTGCATTTCCAAATTCTAACACTCCAGCGAGTATGCAGCAGACTAAATGCCAGTAGACTACCACGCAGTCAACACAAAAAAAATACCTACAAAGACAGGTGGCGCATCTCCCTCTCCGTCTTCTTTCCAGAATTTCACTTTTCGAAAAAAGATCTCAGCACTTCCTTTTGGTACTTCACCACGATCTACATGCATTTAACAATAACCACGGAAAATTTACGAAATCTTGTTCATTCACAGTATTAAATAGTAGACGCATATTATACTGATAAGCTGACATAGCACTAATTTCTGATTAGTACGCCAGTTCAAACAACAAAAATAGCACCCTCGAAACAAATAGATTACAAGGCTTTAGTCTTTCATGGAACATAACACCGTTTTGATTCAGAATACAAACGCGAAAGAAAACAGTATGAAAATCGAAACGAGAACCGATGATATTCAATGAACGGTAGGAGAAAACTTTAAAACTTTTAAAACACAACAGATCTGGAAAAGAAAAACTTACAATCTCGGAATACAATATTGTCGCCTCTCTGCGAGAGCACGAAGAACTGCGAAATCATGGCCAATTACTCAGCAACCGTGTCGAGGATGTAAAAAATCAGTATCGTCCCCGATTCGCAGAGACAGCGGGCGCGAAGAAACTCAACCGAATGAGAGACTCCTTGATCACTCCCGCGGTAAGAAAGCAGGCACGAACCTACTTGTGTTTGCCACGTCAGCAGATGTCAGAATAAAATCACGTGACGAACCAAACGAAATTGGGCCGACAAATTTAAACCTTCCCCAGCCCATTTTACCATAGTGAGCCCGTGAACTGAAGCACTTGAGACAACTACAAGCCCACAAACTAAAGCAGTGGAGAATTTGGCAGATTGGTCGTTGTAAATAGGGTGAATTGGAAAACGGCAAGAACTTGGTCGAACATCTTGGCGCTGCTTTCTTCAATTATAAGTTTCCCGTTTGTTGCTTTATAAGAATGGCTATAAGAGTTCTTTTTAAACCGAATTCCATCATAAAATAAAAAATATATTTCTTTCGGAGATATATATGATTTAAAATTGGTTGTTGGAAGTACGAATGTCAACAGCTTTTAGACCAAAAACCAAACCGAAACGGAATAAACGGTTGCCAAAAATAAAATTAAGGAATGTGATTCTGAGGCCTACTTGCAAAGCAAATTTAGGATTCCCTGCAACATATCTTGTAAGCATATAATTTAAGAAAAGAAAAAGAAGAGAGAAAAAAGTTGTCCATATCTCTCTAATGCTACAAACAAAAATCTGGGAAAAGAAAAATATAGTGAAATGGACGACAGTCAAACACCGGCTTTTGCAAAAGCACGACCTGAGAGCACATTCTTGAAAACACCTTGGTGGATTATTTTGCCTCCTTTTCGAAGTGACTGTTCGTTTTGACCCACATGCCTTAATTTTACGACCCATCTTTTCTTCCCGCCACGTCGACTTGCATATAGCTTCTACCAGTATGCATGAATTTCATTAGTTGTAGAGAATAACGAAACATTTTTTATAAGATGTGGAAACCCTCTCTCTAGCAGACGTTTTATAAAATTGTGTCGTTGACAACGAGACATAATGAGCTAAAATGGATAATATTTGTTAACAGTGGGCATTGGTTGTTACAAGTGATATTCGAACCAATCACTCAATAATATGAAGCATTGGTCTGAATAGAATAAGAACTTCTACAGCATCGGTGTTTTAAAACCTTGAAGGAAAACCCTATTAAGAGAAAACTCAAAGCAGACCATATCTAGTAGCAGTGGGCTTAAGCGGTTACAAATGGTAGCAGAGCCAAACACCATGACATAGTGAGGATGCTGGATCCCAAGAAGTGGACTGTGAACGGGCATAGTCACATCTCACCTTTGAAAAGGCATAGTTTTTTCTGAACTTGGAGTGGTAATAATAAGAAGTGTCTGTGTCGCTCTCAATCCCTTTCATGGTGGCCCTGAAATTCCACCGCAGAACAACACCCTTGCGACGATCACAAACCAAACATTTTGATTGGTTCTTCCAAAACCATCCTTACAGAAGAGAAATAAACTTTCCTCTTAAACCAAATCAAAGGCCTCGATTTCCTGAATTCAAAGTCTCATAAAGCTGGGAAATAAACTTTTATAAAGAGGAAGGGGGTGGGCTATGCATGCAGATTTGTCCAGTTCTTTAGGGCACTGGAGACTCATTAAGGTTGCCTCCTCTGCGCCTTTGCCTTGTCCTCTTGCACTATCTTTTTAGCTTTTTGTATACAGCAACGGCACATTTCTTACCCACAGCATGCTGACTACACATAGTGGGGAATACTAACACTTTTGAGACGACAGCCTTTTGCACTGTTTCAAAATCAAACCTTGCAACCACCGCCTAAACTTTGAGCATCCCAGTGCAATAATTGAGCAAGAGTTGGTGTTTTTTGGAAAGCTATATTGAATGTCTTCAAAACCCTTTATTTGTTTATTTGGTTCCACTTGAGAATTGTGCCTAAATCAAGAAAGTCCAAAGGGAATTGGAGGGTTGTGAATAATCCATCTGCACCGCACACGCCCAATCACCGTCCTCCCCCTCTCCCTCCCCCATCTTCACTTGATTCCCATTCCGATGCCCCTCTTACACTTTCCCCTTTTCTTTTCCACCCTTCATTTTTCATTTTCCTTCTCTTTCTACCCCTCATTTTTCTATATATTGCCTCCTCGCAACTTTCGAATTCCCTTCCCTCCGACCTCTCTCCCTCTCCTCCGGCGGATTCTTCTTTCTTTTCTCTTCCCTCACATCCAATTTGTTTCCTTCATATAGATGCTGGAAATCTTATCGTTAACGCTTCAGATTGATGTCTCCAGTTCTCAGTGAAATCCTCCGCTCCGGTTTCATCATAACCTCTTCTCTCCGCCGCCGTACCCATTTAGTTCAGTCTTTCTCCGTCGTATTCCTCCACTGGTTCTACGTCTTCTCATGAACCATTTCCCCTCACTCCCATTCTAGTATATTTTTAGTTTGATCTCTTCTTATATATTCCCAAAACATCAAAATCAACCCCCCATCCTGAATTTAGCTTCTGGGTCTATCAATCAAGTGTAAATATAGAAGTCTCTCTCTCTATATATATATTTATATATAAATATAATAGTGATTTAAGAGTTGTTGTCGCTGTTTTGTTTTTGTTATGGACTGTTGTAGTGGGAATTCTTCAGGTTCATTATCTCAGATTGCGGTTCAGAACCAGAGCTCTGGTTCTGAAGAAGAGCTGAGGCAATTGCTGGACCAAAGGAAAAGAAAACGAATGCAATCGAATCGGGAATCGGCGAGGAGATCGAGGATGCGAAAACAGCAGCACTTGGACGGGCTGATGGCGCAACTGAGTCAGCTTAGGGAAAACAAAAACCAAATCATTTCAAGAATTAATCTCGCAACCCAACTCTTTCTCAACGTTGAGGCACAAAATTCTGTCTTGAGAGCTCAGATTGTGGAACTTACCCATAGCTTAGAGTCCCTAAACCAGATCCTGTCCCACATCGACGACAACAACAACCACCACCACCACCAAGAAGAACAACAACATAATTTTCTTCAAAGCTTTTATGATTTTGATCAAACCCCATTGTTCACCAACTCCTTCTTCCTCACCCAACAGCCCATTGTGGCTTCTGCTGATCATCACGTGCTTCACTACTTATCCACTTCCGCCATTGATTTAAGGAAGCCTCTAGTTTAAATCTTAATCTAATATCTTTTATGCCTTGTGTTCATGGATTGGACTCAGATCAGATCGGTCAATCATCGGGAATTTTGAAGTGAAACACATTTATATTAAATAAATTCTAGTTTCATATAATATAATCTTTTCTATCATTACTTAATGAAATATTTTCTCTTTTTTTTCATCTACTTTTCATTGTCGCAAGAAAAATATGATTATTTTATATTTCCTTGTTTAAGATAAAAGCCGATAGATTGAAACTTAAATGTATTTCGGCAAGCCACTTTATTCGTAAATGCTCTTCTTACGACCATTGTTTATAAAACTATAAAAGACAATAAAAGGACTAAAATAATAAGATAAAGATGGGCCTAGTTTTAAGTGATGAGTAAAGAGAAGCAGAAAGTTGAAACTAGAGGGCCAAAATGCAAATGATTAGGCATCGATGATGGGCGCTCAGCGATGTGTTCGCGGTGAGCTAACGTGCATTAATCCCCATTTATGGATGAGATATGCTGAGCTATACAGTGACTTCAATATTCACTGAATCCAAAATTTTACCCAATCCCCAGAAGGTCTCTATACATAAATGTTCCCAAGTAAGGTGCAGATTCGGGTCCTGCGTACGGCAGATCACCGACCCAATCGATTATTTAACCAATGGCTTCAGGCATACGACTCCTGATAATGATGCGTCGCCCAAAGATATGTACCAACCAAAAAAGAATAAAAACTCAAACCCAATGACCAATAAATTTTAGTGTATGGCTGTTTCTTTCCACAATTTCATTTGGCTTGGCCTCTCATCTGGGATAGAACTACGGCCACTGCTTGCTTGGCCTCGCTATTTAGAATCTGTTTCCTAACAAAATTTACGGCCTCGGTACAGGTTCAAGCTCAAGATGGTCTCTAGAGTTTCCTTTAAGTAAATGAACGAAATACCCTATGGTTTAGTACTACTACTCTTGCTCGAATACCAATTACGTCGTCGGGTGAGTTCAGAAAGGCAAATAGCAGAAGAAGGCATTCCACGCCCATTAACAATTTAGGACATCTAATATTTACAATCTCATGGTAAGGGATCCATGTTTTTACACGATTAGAGAAAACAGGAGTTGCTTTCCGTGTCGTCTGAACAAAGCATCAGATATATATTTTTCCATGGGAAACTGAATAAAAATAGATTGTAGAAGTAGAAATGATAAAATTTGGCAAGCTGAGGTCAGGATATACATAGCTGTCTCATTGGTGTAAGCAGCCTTGAGAACCTGAGGGGAACGTATGCCTGGACCAGTGTTCCGTTCTCCGTGTATTCCTGCCAGCATAAGAAGACAATGGAAGTTACTCAAGATGCAAAAAAGTGGTGGCCGTGCGCCCAACAAAGAGATCAAAATAAATCCGAAGGTGGGGTCATCGTACATCACTATTTTTCATCTTTTGCCAGAAAATATTTACTATTTTGTTTAGAGCAGTCTATTAGTGTAATAATAGAAAGTCAAGACAGCTAGGAGTAATGCACATTGATTGTGGATTTCCGGTCAGTTTTTATATTGGAAGTAAATATGGCGTTTTTTTGAATTATACCGACAAAATGCATCAACCAAATGCACTCTCAAGGTATTTAAAAATAACCAAAAATGTGTATAATAAGAAAACAAAATGAAAATCGAAAAGGATCCCATGTGTACTTACAGTTTTCTCTACCACTCCAACCTGATGCACAGTGCTCAGGAGCTCACCTCGATCAAATGGGATCAACGCTTCTACCCAAACCATCGAGTCCTGCCCATTCAAAACAATCATTCGTGATCTTGTCTTCATCTCTGCTGCTAACAAAGAATAGAGAAAAACTACTTTTTTCAAGAATGCAAAGTTAATACACCTTCAATTTTCCCTGAACTGCATTACAAAATTCGTCCAAGCCATCACCACTCAGGGCAGATACACAAACAACGTCTCCTCTCTTCTCTGCTTCCAGTCTAATATGTTGAGGATCACTAACCTTGTCAACCTGCCGTTGGAAATTTTGAAGTCAGCGATGCATATTGGAATTTGAGAAGGAAGAATTCGTCAATATACTTACCAATAAGGATCCCTCACAGAAGCTACAGATTTTTCTTTAAAGTTATAAACCAAACTTCAACACAGCAAATGAAAGGACAATTGGCAATACAAATTAATAATAATAATAAGAAAAGAAGGATAAATACAAAACTCTTTAGACACCAACACCAAAGAGGGGTATTCGACCTAGCTAAAGACCAAACTCCCCCAAGGCTTCTATTGTCCTCCAATGATCCCCATCTTTCCCCCAAGCCCAATATTTCACAACAAGACTAAAAATAGCTACACAATTGAGCTACGAGAAAAACAGAAGCCCATTTGAAAATCCATTTTTAGTAGAACATATGAAAGAGTGCCATAAAAACGAAGAACTCCTGTTTGTTGTACCATCTACCCTCTGAAGAATAAAGAAACAGAATAAAGACATTCCAGTTAAGCAAACCAATACAAGCTAGGTCAATGACAAAAGGGCAAAGAAATCTATTATAAGCTGAGATAAAAGTATCTAACTTTTTCCCATTGTTGGTGAAACGTTGCATTACCGTAAAAACTTTTTCCCGTTTACCTTGTTCCAAACCATCAACTTCGGAATTGATGACACATCCAATTCTGAAAGAACTTTATCCACAGCTTCTATCTGTTGCTCAGCCAGCGGATGGCTGAAATTGATAAAATATTGAATCAGAAAATAGGTTAGGGTAATCAGAAGCATCAATAGATTAACCAATCACCTGATGTCCACCACGTGAACCAGCAATGATGATTCTGATATCTCCTCTAGTGTTGCTCTGAATGCAGCAACCTGTACGACTTAACCAAGGATAACAATAAACTACCAGAAGATTCAGAATGATATGACAGATGAGGTGTGACTATATGATGCTTATCGTGTGGCTGCAAATCTCACCAGCATAGTCGGTAACTTTTGGATGAAACCAACAGTATCAGTGAGTAGAAACTCGTTCCCATTCTTCATCTGGAGAGTGTGAAATAAGCATCTTAAGTTAACAAAATGAATTAAAAAATAGTTCTGTTTCAATGTAGAGAATTCTGCTGTCTGATTAAGAGGACAGGAAAAACAAGGATATAGTTATGTAAGATCGAATATATTTCAATGTAGAGGATGGGTGGCTTTCGGAAAATAGTTCCCTACTCTCCTTCGCTTTAGTGTTTATGTTGGGAGAATGCCTATTCACCCCTTGCATAAACTTTCTAGGTAAATGCAATATTTCTTATCACCAAAAAAATGGCAATCAATCAAATCATTTACAGAGTTGCACTCCTAGCTACCACAGCCAAATACATGCAAGATTAAGTCTAGCTGAAATTACCTGAACCCTTCTTGTAGTTGGATCAAGGGTTGCAAACAATCGATCCTCTGCAAGGACTTCAGCTCCAGTCAACTGATTCAAGAGCGTACTCTTTCCAGCATTTGTATATCCAACCTAAAACATCATCATCCAAGACCTCTAAAATGTTAGCAGAAAAAGCTACCTTCACTTGCACAAAATTTGAAAGTAAAGAAAGTTCATGTTCATGTGAATTCACTTACCAAAGAAACTACCGGGACAGGTACAGAAAAGCGCCGGCTTCTGTACTGTTTTCGATGCATCCTAACAGACTCTAATTCCTTCCGGAGAACACCAATCTAGCAGTGATGTGTATTTACATTCAAACTTATTTTCAACAAACAAGCCAAAGAATAGCCTATTGAACATAGCATATCATACATAACCAGATATCCTTAGCACAAGAAAGTTGGCTGGAACATATATATGCCCTTGGTGAAAATTTAAGAATTATAGACTAGAAACGGAAAACTCTAAATATTGCGAAATTAGGAATCTAAAAAAAGTGGGTGTCGTCCATCTGTTTTCCCCATAGGCTCCAAATCACTGAAGTGTATGAAGGGGGAATCGTTTGAGGGGGCCAGTTATGTGTTTATGTGGGGCCCCATAGGTTTTGCTAGTTACATGAGGACCCTTGGGGGTGAAGGTCTAGAGGGGAGCGTTGTTTTGTAGGATTATGGTTGTAATTTTCTGGACCTTCTCTTGAGAGAGGTAGGAGAGGTGAAAAGCTCTCGAAACTTCCCTCAGCTGTACTATGTTGATAAATGAAATTGTTGACTGAAGCCTATCAGTTCCCTTTTCAGCCTTGACTCTCAAGTAAGATTCTTGATGTGATAAAAATGAAAATAGCAGAAGCAAATACTTATTATACAAAGATTCAATAAGAAAGATCGCTTACTTGCGTTCGTAAGATACGCTTATCCACTTCAATTTGCTTCTCACCCATACCTTTCACCTGCCCTCCTGCTTGACGCTCAAGGTGGGTCCACATCTTTGTAAGTCGTGGTAACTGGTATTCCATTTGTGCCAATGCCACCTAAAGAGAAAGTTTACATGATTTAACAAAAAGATTCTTCTGTATAAACTAATTCCCTCAGAATATAAGAATATTAAGAATACGTTGGAAACCCCCATAATTAGAAAAAAGACATCCATTGAAGATAACTAAACAAAAATCATTCAAAAGTGCATGAACATTGCCTGTAGAGATGCCTCATGTGTTGCTGCTCTCTGATTGAAGATATCCAGGATTAGGGCAGTACGATCACAAACTCTAACATCTCCACCAAATGATTTTTCCAGGTTTCTCAGTTGCCTAAGAGAAGAGACTATAAGTTCTATGACAAGGAAAAAAGGTTCGCTTCTCTTGAACAAGATGATAGTGTAACAGAAAACAGTGCGAAGCCTCCAAACAATTAGCAAAATAGCAACCTCTAATCACAACTCAAACAAGAAATGAACTGGCTACAGAGACTACTTTCAAGGAAACTTATTGGAAAAGAAACTATGATAAAATAAAATTAATGTCAATGATGCACTGTTTCCTCACTCATGAGAAATGATAACATCCATTAACAGAATCATTTAAATAAAATAAAATAATTATTAAAAAAAAAAAAACTTACCCAGCTGAAAGCTCATCATCAAATATCACAGTCTCTATACCTAATGCATGAATTGCACTCTTGATTTCTGCAACTTTGCCAGATCCGATGTAAGTCCTTGGGTTTGGAGAAGCTAGTCTGGATATCATGACAATGAAGAATCAAGAAACCTAAATAATTTTTTAATCTCGAAAATAAGGGGAGAATTAACACTCAGAGAGCTAAATAATGAAATATTCTTAGAGTGAGAATAAAAAAATGTAGCATTTGACGCTCGTGGACCAGATTCTTAAAAAGAAACATTAGGCTCTGTTTAGTCACATTTCATTTCGTAACTTTTTGAGATTAAAAACCAAGCTTGTATTCACCTCATTTATTTGTTTTGATTTTCACCTTCTCAAAACATTTTTGGATTTAAAACCAAAATTAAAATTTTCACAACTTTTTGAAATTGGCTAGATTTTTTTTCTAAAAAAAAGAAGTTTCCTTGGAAGTGTATATATATAACAAAACACACAAATTAAGAGTATAAGCCCATTTGTAGAAAAAAAACTAAAAAGATAATTGTTATCAAACCCAAACGAGCACTATGTAACAACTACCCTGAAGTATGCTGAAAAGAACAGAAAACAGGGAAAAAAAAAAAGTAATTGAAATTGCTAGGATGTTCAAATATGGCCCACATCAAAGCCATTTGACATTCTTGCACATTAAAAGAGTACTAAATCGAGAGAATATCATATAACATCTACAACCATTTGAAAATATATTAATATCAATATCAAGAAATCCTTATTGCAAAAAGTTTGTTGCCACCATTGAAGTTGTTTTCCATTAGAAAACCTAGTAAATGATCTGATCATAAATATGCCAAGCCAACACTTGGATTGACTACAGAATACTATTATTATTACTATTGGACAAGAGACAGAGGCTTTCATTGATAGCAGAAGAACAGCCTAACATCCAGGCTGATTAGAGACATATAAGCCAGAACTGATGAATTAACAGAATAAAGACAGCAAATTGAGAGGGAGAGTGAAAATATGACAATCCTATTGCACATATGACCCAAAATCAATCAGATGCCAACCAAACGAATACATTTATCTACAGAAAGGCACACGGAAGTGTCCACATAACTCACTTTTGATATGTTGAACCAACGACCTTTAGTCCAGCAGTGTCAGCTAACTGTGCCAGTTCTTTCAGAGATTCGTCTATGCTAAAAAGTTGGCCAACATCTCCTTTCCGCTCTAAGCCAACGAGGTAGGCTTGTTCTTCAAAAATCTGAATTAATAAATAAGTCAACTTCTTCATTTCCATTTTTTGAAAAAAAAAAAAAAACATGGACGGATAAGATCCATAAATCCATGTTTTTAATTAAAAGAAACCCGCGAGCATTGATATGAGTATCTTCCCCAAATTACTTCATCCAAACATTTTATCGGATTTGTTTTGATCACATATCCTAACTGGACCATGCTGTATCCCCTATGTTGCTCAGAACTAGAAGATATTTTACCCAACCTATGGGAATTCGCCCCTTAATTCTGACAGCTTGTGTTTTCTAAAGTTCAAAGAACCCAGTCCAAAAAATTAAGTAACGTGTTGAATTTCAACGCAACCTTTCATAATTCCCAATTGATGTTTAACATTCTCTCTTTTGTCTCCGCGGCCTCGCGTCTGATATCCTTACTTGCGGGTGTCGTTGTTCGTTGCGCCCAATGAAATTTTGTAAATGCTCCATTCCACTAAAGTATAGAATAATTCATGAATTCAATCTCTTACTGTTTAGTTAAAACATCCAACCCTCAAAAGTATGAAGCCTCCTACTCTACGTTCTAAATCATGTGTGGCAGTCGGAAGAAGAATCGTTGATGGAAGAAAGACATCGAAATAAGGGGCGTAACTATACTGGTATCTTAATTGATTCTAAATTCCGAAGACAGTAATGTTCAAAGGGTGAAAAGGAAAGCTCCAAGAAACATACCTCCCTTCCATTTCGCAGCTTAAACCTACTCTCGAGGCTATCCCCGTCTTCTTGTGCCTTCTTTTTAACCCTACTCGATAACTGCGATTTAGGCTTTGGTTCAGTGGTGGAGACGCCATGGATGAGCTCATCAGCATCTTTGGTTCCTTCTACTTCCTGAATAGGCTTGACAAAAGAACCATGGAAAGGGAGATTATCGGAGGACACGACGAGAGGCTCTTGTTGAAAAGTACTACAAAGGGTTCTGATAGAATTCCTCGAATCCTTTCTTGAGGCGAAGGGGAAAAGTGCGCGATTCTGGTTCGAAGAAGTACATGAAGAGCATTGTTCTGGGATTGAAGGGCGGGGAAAAAAACTGACGAGGGAGGTGCTCGTCATCGATAAGATATGTTCCCGGGCTTCTGAAAAATTAATATAGTCCGTGTGACTGTAATAAAAAAAAAAAAATTAAATACATCGAAATAAAAGAAATAATAATAATAAAAAAAACGACCGAATCATTTGTAAGTCAACTTTTTTCTTAGGTTTGGGCCTATTAGGCTTCGCCATGGTATGTAATTTGGGCCATATTTATGAACTTCGATTTTTCACTCCGTTGGGCGTTATCTTAACTATTCCAATAAACTTTCGATTTTTCATTGTTCGTCAGGTTAGTTGAAACGGTGTCACAAAATAAAATATGTATTAAATCATCAATTAACTCGTATATTAATTGAAATTTCATTAATTCCAACACATATATTAATAACCGATAAACATTTTATTTTTCCAGCAAATTCATAAAAAAATGTTGATTAAAGTTATGAAACTATTCCATGAGATTAAAAAAAAAAAAGGGAAAATACCCATCTAATAATTTTTTTTATAACTATTTCAATTTTATGATCATATATTTGAATTTTGTTTATTTAATATTAAAATAGCTAAAAAAAAACAATAGATAATTAAAATAAAAGTACAACAAAAAAATACGATTAATCAATATTATTAATATTTTGGTTAAAAAAAAACAAATATTTAGGTTAACAAAATAATTAATGATTAGATAATTAAAAAATAAATAAAAGAACTGCCCGACGTAAACGGAACGGAAATCTAGCGAGGGTCGGTAATTCCCAATGCGCCAACTCCAAGTTCCCAACGGCAACACACATGGACATGAAAAACAAAGAGAAACAAACGGCGCAAGAACGGCGTCGACCGTACATTTCTTGTTTGCACTCCAAGCAAGCAATTTGCTCTCAAAACAGGAACTAATGTCGAAGAAACTCATTGAATTCTGGCTTCGATTCCACGCCGTTTCAAATTCTATAATCCTGCGTCTAAATTTTAGCAAGGCACATGGCCACCAGCCCATACTTATTTGGTTTGATTCAAATTATTATTTTTAAAATAAAGTTTGATCCCATTGATTAGGCTTTGGAAATCATTATCGTTAATTACAAATCATTTCATTTCATATGCTTAAAATGCAAAAACTAAAATTTATATATGTGATCATCCCATTTTTGAATGTGATATGCAAAGTCAATCACCATACGACATGTGAAATATAATAATAATACTTTTTTAAACTAACTTGATTTCATATTGAAGAAGCTCATATGCTGAAGCTGACCTGAAAAGAAGGCATATTTATAAACGAACTGATAATGCCGTACCTTTTGTAGTCTGATCATTCGTTGGAACGTTCACTTCAGGCTTACAGCTTGCTGCTCTCTCGGTTGAAGAGTAAATCAAATCCATGGAAGCTCTCTCGGTTTACAGCTTGCTGCTCTTCATTTTCATGGCCGCATTGGCTGGCTTTCGATCCATACATTGCAGCGTGGCTTATGACAAGAAGGCCATTCTCATCAATGGCCAAAGGCGGATTCTCATTTCCGGCTCCATTCACTACACAAGAAGCACACCTGAAGTACGTATCTCTTGTATTCTTGAATTCATTGTGCAATCGTTTAAGAGTGTGACTCACAGTTGCTACTCTGTTTCTACGATTTGGCTCTGGTAGATGTGGGAGGATCTCATTCAGAAGGCGAAGGACGGGGGATTGGATGTAATCGATACCTACGTCTTCTGGAATGTTCACGAACCTTCTCCTGGCAATGTACTATCTCAGAACTCATTTATTCACCCAAACTTTGGTTAATTTTGAGATTAATTTGTTCGCTCTCACTTGTTTCAGTATGATTTCGAGGGGAGGTACGATCTCGTACGTTTCATAAAGACGGTACAGAGAGTGGGCCTTCATGTTCATCTCCGCATAGGACCTTATGTTTGTGCAGAGTGGAATTTTGGGTACACAAAAACTTCCCCCATTGATTTTTACTGCCAGTTTTTGAAGTAAATTCCTGAAATCAGATGCAGCTATGTTATTTCTCTTCGTGGTAAATGACTCTGACATAGTGTTATTGTACAGTGGATTTCCCGTTTGGTTAAAATATGTACCTGGAATCAGCTTTAGAACTGATAATGAGCCTTTCAAGGTTAGTTTTCTCCATTTATTATTACCTGATTCTTTCAACTAATGAAGTTTACAGTGAGTAGTTTTTCTGGTTTCTTGCTCTCCAGATGGCAATGAAAGGGTTCACCCAGAAAATTGTACTAATGATGAAGAACGAAAGGCTATTTGCCTCACAAGGTGGCCCCATTATCCTTTCACAGGTAAAGGTTTAGAAGCTTATGTGATATCTCCATTATCCTTTCACAGGTATGGAAACGTTACAATCAATGCTATGGATACCGTTGTTCATTTCTAAAGACTTCAAATTTTCATTTCAATTTTGTTTTGTTAGATTGAAAACGAGTATGGGCCGGAAGGTAGAGCGCTTGGAGCTGCTGGTCATGCATACATTAATTGGGCGGCAAAGATGGCTGTTGGACTGAATACAGGAGTGCCTTGGGTGATGTGCAAGGAAGATGATGCTCCTGATCCTGTGGCAAGCCATCTTTTTTTGTTTACTGGCGCCGAAATATATCAATCTTTAAACATCAATGGAAATTTCTGGTTATAAATTCTCCATTTTTTGGTCGCAGATAAATTCGTGCAATGGTTTTTATTGTGACTACTTCTCCCCTAATAAGCCTTACAAGCCTACATTATGGACAGAGGCATGGAGTGGCTGGTACACATCTTACTCATCAATCCTCTGTATATTCAATCTACCAATGGAATTATTTCTCTGATCCTTCTATCCTCCCTGTAATGAAAGGTTTACAGAGTTTGGTGGCCCAGTTTATGGTAGACCTGTCCAAGATTTGGCATTTGCAGTTGCTCGCTTCATACAAAAGGGTGGTTCATTTTTTAACTATTACATGGTTGGTTAGCTTGCTTCACTCACTTCGCTGTTTTTATGAACTTGATATGCCTGACATTAAACTGAATCCATTTTGTTTTGATTAATGAAAGTATCATGGTGGAACCAACTTTGGACGCACTGCTGGAGGCCCATTCATTACAGCTAGTTATGACTACGATGCTCCACTCGATGAATATGGTGAGAAGGCTATCATATTCAATGTATCTCATCGTTGAAGCTTCCCTTCAAAATTTTTAAGACGTGTCTCCTATGGAGAGGTTTCCACGTACTTATAAAGGGTGTTTTGTTCTCCTTCCTAATCGACGTGGGATCTCACTATCCACCCCCCTTTGGAGCCAACGTCTTAGCTGTCATTCGTTTTCTTCTCCAATCGACGTGGGCTTCCCAATCCACCCCTCTTCGGGGCCCAGTTTCCTTGCTGATACACCACCTTGTGTCCATTCCCTTTAGGGATCAACCTCCTTACTAGCACATCGCCCGGTGTCTAGCTCTATTACCATTTATAATTGCACAAGCCCACCGCTAACCGATATTGTCTTTTTCAAACTTTCCCTTTTGGACTTTCAATCAAGATTTTTAAAACACGTCTGTTAGAGAGAGGTTTCTACACTGTTATAAAGAATGTTTCATTCTCCTCCCCAACCGATGTAGGATCTCACATACATAATCATTCCGTCTCCGACACTTCAAATATATTACTCGGAATTATCCCCGAAAGAAAATGATCTGCAGTTCTATTTCTGTTACTGGCAGGCAAAGCTAACTACTTAATTACTATTTACTTATAGGCATGATCAGGCAACCAAAATATGGGCATCTGAAGAACCTCCATAGGGCCATTAAGTTATGTGAACATGCTTTAGTTACTTCAGATCCTACAGTTACCTCACTAGGAAACTATCAGCAGGTTGGCCTATTTGTTTATTCAATGACTTTCTTCTCAAATTGTGATGATGTTTCTTAGCTCAACTAAGTAATTCCCCAGGCTCATGTTTTCTCTTCGGGACCTGGAAGTTGTGCTGCTTTTCTTGCAAATTACCATTCAAGTTCTGCAGCTACAGTGGTGTTCAACAACATGCATCACATTTTGCCTCCCTGGTCAATAAGCATCCTTCCCGATTGTAAGCGTGTTGCGTTCAATACTGCAAAGGTATATATTCCATCTTGAAATTTAGGACATGTTTTCTTGTACATTTTCTTCTCCTACGTTTTAATTCAGATTGTTCTGTGCTCATCAAGGTTGGAGTTCATATTGCACGAACCCAAATGTTGCCAACAATTTCCAAGTTGTCATGGGAAACTTATAATGAAGATACATCTTCCCTAGGAGGGAGTTCAAGAATGACTGTTGCCGGCCTCTTGGAGCAGATAAATGTCACTAGAGATGCCAGTGACTATCTTTGGTACATGACAAGGTGAGCCTGGAATTATATGGTATCTTCAGCTAGCTGGTTTATAGTACTATATAAATGCTTGCTTATCGACCTAGATCGAATAAAAACTTGATCCAAAAATTTCAATTTGTAACGGCCCAAGCCCACCGTTAGCAGATATAGAACACTCATTGACAATAAATTTGCGCTGTATTCTAGTGTTGGCATCAGTTCATCAGAAGCATTTGTTGGAGGAGGACAGAAGACCACTTTAACTGTGCGATCAGCTGGCCATGCTCTTCATGTTTTTATCAATGGACAGTTCTCAGGTATGCCTTCAATCCCTTAGATTTCATCTTCAACGTGATGATCGAATTTATGTCATTAGTACATAAATTACAGGCTCGGCTTATGGAAGTAGGGAACGTCGAGAATTTACATTTACTGGCCCTATCAACTTACATGCTGGGATGAACAAAATTGCTCTACTCAGCGTCACAGTCGGCTTACCGGTTGACTCCTTCCCCATATATCCACTTTTAAGCTTTAAACCAAGCATATAAGCAGAAAGTACAACTTGACTTTGCCATAACTATATTATTGCTGATTTGCATTCTGTTGTTAGAATGTTGGGATGCATTTTGAGACATGGGAAACGGGTATCCTAGGTCCGATTTCGATAAGTGGGCTTAATGAGGGAAAGAAGGATTTGACATGGCAGAAATGGAGTTACCAGGTAAAATGACTCGCATATGAATCAATGGGATGGGCAGGGTTCCCCTTTCGATTGATTCAGTCTAATATCCTTGACTGGCAACAGGTAGGCTTACAAGGAGAGGCAATGAATTTGGTCTCTCCAACCGAAGCTGCGTCTGTGGATTGGATAAAAGGTTCTCTTGCTTCACAAGCTCAGCGACCATTGACTTGGTACAAGGTAAAATCCAAACTGAATTAGTGACTCAAATGAGGAAGTTTTATAATTTAGTTGGAACTTGCAGGCTAATTTCAATGCGCCAGGAGGGAATGAGCCATTGGCTTTGAACTTGAGAAGCATGGGCAAGGGCCAAGCATGGATTAATGGACAGAGTATTGGAAGATATTGGATGGCTTATGCAAAGGGTGGCTGCAGTAGGTGTAGTTATGCTGGGACATACAGACCTTCCAAATGCGAACATGGTTGTGGGCAGCCAACCCAACGATGGTAACACTAAATAGCAGAATCAAATTCTATTATTCATACGGTTATAGCTGATTCCTTCCATTTCTTATATGTTCATCCAGGTATCACATTCCTCGATCCTGGTTAAAACCAACCAATAATGTAATGGTGTTGTTTGAAGAACTTGGTGGCGATGCGTCCAAAATATCACTTTTGAGGAGGTCTGTGACTGGTGTTTGTGGTGAGGCAGTTGAACACCATTTGAGAAATGAAAGTTACATCATTGAAAGCAACGAGGAACCAGATTCGTTTCACCTGCAATGTAATCCAGGGCAGGTCATATCAGCCATAAAATTTGCAAGTTTTGGAACTCCTTCTGGAACTTGCGGAAGTTACCAAAAGGGAACTTGCCATGCACCAGATTCTCTTGCCATATTAGAGAAGGTCCGTTCATAGCTTCTATCCTATAAAGTTTTGAAGAATACTTTAAGACTAACAGTCATAATTTGAAATATTTCTACAGAAATGCATCGGGCAGGAGAGCTGTTTGGTGTCAGCAACCAGAGACAACTTTGGAGTAGACCCATGTCCTAATGAATTGAAACAGTTATTAGTTGAGGTCGATTGTGCCATAGCCGATATCAAAGGACGTGGTTCTTGAGAAAAGTTCAACAGCCAGCATCCTTGCTCCTCACCAGCATGCTGTTCTATGTTGTGAAGCCAAGGTGATTTAACTTACTGATTGAAGATTAGTTTCATTGATCATATGTTGCATTGCATATTAATTTATATTTGATAGGCATGTGTAAGTTATTACCATTAGAGGAACTCATCAGCCCTGTAAATGGGAAGGTTCGAGCTCATTACATTGTTTTCTTGAAAGATCATGATAGCCATTTGCCCCAAAAGTCCCTATTCCCTTGGCCTTGTATTAATCAGATGGGATGAGTTTAAGTTATAAAGAGTGTGTATTAGTCCTTCAGATTCATTCATTTTGATGAATTCCCCCTTTAAGAGTCTCCCCTCATTTTAACCATTTATGGTAAGATGTCACGGCTCATGCCCACCGTTAATAGATATTGTTCTTTTTGGTCTTTTCCTTCTGGGTTTCCCCTCAAAGTTTTAAAATGTGTATGTTAGGAACATGTTTCAACACCATTATAAAGAATATTTTGTTCCCCTCTGAGATCTCACAATCTACACCCTCATTTGGGGCTCAATGTCCTCACTGGCACACCGCCCAGTGTCCACCCCCTTTGGAGTTCAACGCCTTCACTCGCACACCGCCTGGTGTCTGGTTCTGATACTATTTGTAACGGCTCAAACTCACCGCCAGCAGATATTACTCTTTTTTGAGCTTTCCCTTCGGAGCAATCAATGTATTTAAAGTTGTGCTCAGCAAAAGCATCAATTTATTACCAGCTGGGGAAAGGTGGCACCTTTCTCTTCAAATGAAATCCAAAGAACAGATGATGATATCTCCTCAACATAGACTTCCCATTAGGCATGCTGTAAAACAATCTTCTGCAATGCATCTTTTCTTGCACCGACAAACCTGCCCACCACCTTCCCATTCTTCAAGAACATGAAACAAGGGAGAGCACTCACTCCCCATTCCGCAGCAACAGTCTGCAGAAAAGGATTCGATTGGTTTGAAATCTTAATAATATCACTCAATTTAACAATACAAAATCTCTGCAGGGCAGGGCATGAATCAACTTACATTCAATTTATCAACATCGACCTTCAAGAATATATCATTACTCATCTTCTTAGCCAACTCTGCAAAAACTGGAGCGATGGCACGGCACGGACCGCACCATGCGGCAGTGAAGTCCACGACAATCTGTCGAATTAAAATTGTTTAAGAAGAGGAAGAACACATGAAGAAACTAATGGATTTAGAATCAAGCAGTACCAGTCTGTAAGATGGTCGTCCAACGAGAGAACTGAACAAATACAAACCTAAATGGCTCAATTTAAAGCGGTAGAAGTAAAAGAAGACATGGAAATGAACGAGCAATAGGGAAGCCTCATTTGCGGTGCATATGGAATCGAACCATTGGGAAAGCATCGAGAGCTCCTACAACAAAATTCTTGAAACGCCCGACGACGGAAGTGCGTTCGACAGACCAAACACAACTAAGATGAAAGCAAAAAGGAGAAGAAGCATCAAAGATTCAGATTTTGCGGTTTTACTTCGCACCGCGGTGCGAAACGATGTAAGCATATCATTCGCACCATCCGATCTTTAGGCATTCACACGTAGCCCAAAGTTGGTGGGCCTCCAAATATGTATTATGGGCTTGGTATGGGCTTATCAACGAATATGGGCCTAGATGAGCCCAATGAAAATGGTACCGATGGAAATTGGGAGTAAATATTTTTAAGTTCTGGGGGAGTTTGATTTTTGTGAGGCAGAGAGCTCAGCACACAAGCTCTCGACAAGCAAGCAAACAATTTGCTTTGGTTTATCTAAACACTTGGGAACACTGGCAGTGCTTCAATGGCTCTTCCTCAGCTCATTCCTTCCTCTTCCTCTTCGTCTCTATCCCATAATCCAATTTTAAATCCCAACACAATTTCTTCTACCTTAACCCTTAGCCCTAGATTCTTCTCTTCTGCTGCCGCCTTTCGCCACCGCTGTCACAAGCCCAATACGCTCAAGTGTTCTGCTTCATCTTTCCCCGAAAAACACCACACCGGCTCTCCCAAATCCGGCGATGTCGTTGAGCTTCCGCTGTTTCCCCTTCCTCTCGTTCTCTTCCCCGGCGCTATTCTTCCTCTGCAGATCTTCGAGTTTCGCTATCGGATGATGATGCACACTCTGCTTCAGACTGATCTTCGCTTTGGAGTAATTTACACCGATGCAGTTTCTGGTACGACGGATGTTGGATGCGTTGGTGAGGTCGTCAAACACGAGCGGCTCGTTGACGACCGATTCTTCCTTATCTGTAAGGGCCAAGAGCGGTTTCGAGTCACCAATCTTGTTCGGACGAAACCTTATCTCGTCGCCGAAGTTACATGGCTCGAGGACCGGCCGTCCGGCAGTGGAGAAGAGGATTTGGATGCGTTGGCGAACGAGGTAGAGTCATACATGAAGGACGTGATTCGATTGTCGAACCGGTTGAGTGGTAAGCCGGAGAAAGAGGTTCAGGATTTGAGAAGGAATTTATTCCCAACTCCTTTCTCGTTCTTCGTTGGAAGCACGTTTGAAGGTGCGCCTAGAGAGCAGCAGGCGTTGCTCGAATTGGAGGATACGGCGGCGAGATTGAAACGGGAGAAAGAGACATTGAGAAACACTCTTAATTACTTGACCGCCGCTTCTGCTGTTAAAGATGTGTTCCCGTCCAACAGTTAGAAGGCAAGTTGAGAACTATCTGTGGAGAGTGGAGAGAAGCAAGATTGTTGAAAGCACAAGGAAGCAAATTGGAGGTAATGCTTAATTTTTGCTTGCCTTTACCCGTATTTTATACGAGGGACGGATGATATTAAAGCTGTAAATTTTGATATATAATTGAATTCGCTTCATCTGGTATACCAATGTTTACATACTCGATATAGAAATTGCACATGATCTTAAGGGTATAGGTGAATTATTTGAAGAAAGTTCACGAAGAACTTGAATTTTGGAATGTGCTTTCTGCTTGGATTAGACTATTATTTATGGAGGTCGTTCAGGAAAGGGGTGAGTGGATGGTGAGGATCTTTGATCATCTGGCTTCACCATGCCTTCCTTGAAAGCCCCAAAGGTTGCACCATATCATTTTCTTGATGGTTTGGGACGATACAGCTATCTGGTTTATAATCATGTGGTCTGTTCTGTTCATTTTTGGTCATGCCCAAATAAGCAGCTTCAAGCAAGAACATATTATGACCTCATAGTTGATTATTTATAATGTTTCCTTTTCTTATTTCCTCACTGTTTGGATGTGCATTTTGGTTGGTCTACTGCTTCGCTTGAGTTCTTCATGCTGGAAGTTTCAGATTTTATGCTCGTAAAACTGTATACTTGTGTTTAAGATCCTGCATAGTGAGCCATCCAAATGCACTTAGATGTGAATCTTGATGAATTTTATGAGTCAACCGATGGACCTGGGACCCTGTAAATGAGCTCACCTGAGCAAGTCAGGTATCAATTCTTCTGGGACACTCTTGCCTCTCCCTGTTTTCAAGTTTTTTCCTTCATTTGAGCAGTGGCCTTGTGCAATTCTCCCTCTTTCTTGCTGCAGTTTAAGCTCATTATTTGAATTCAATGGTATGCGGCGTTTCTCCCTTCAAGTATAACGATTAAAATTGAGCAAATATGCTGATTTTCTATGTGATGCAGCTTCAATAATAAAGGAGCATAAAGGGTCATCTACTGGTTTTTCTGTATTGTATTACTGAAAGGCCGACGAACTTTGGATTGGGTAGTATGGGAGCGTTAAATTACCTGGGCTTGGCCCGTTAAATTGATGGGCCTGGTCCATCCCCAATTCTGCAGATCTTGGTCCAATTGGGATTTTGAAGACTAAATTATTTATATACGGGATAGTTACATGCTTCAATATAATATTGAAGTAGAAAATCGTTAAAATATTAGGCAAAAATTGAAATTGGGACCTGTTATTCCATTTCAACGATCTAGATTATTACCCAAATGTTTCAAGCCCAATTTTCACATGTGACTATAAAATTAATTAGGGCAAAAATATGTGACTATAGAAGAATGTTTTTCTTTTTCACATATAACATTATAGAAGTAAGAATTAAAAACTTTACAACTTAATAAGAAGATTGCTTACGTTTTTTTGTGTTTAAATTTATTTGAGTTCAATATTTAGTATTCATAAATTAATTTTATTGGTTGAGATAAATAGATTCTTTATGTATTTGGATTATTAAATTATTTTCTAAAAGAATGATAAATAATCTCTACTTGGTTTTTTAAAAAATAATTTGTAAACGTTTTGGGTGAAACGAAAGTTAATTGGTTGAGGTAAAAATAAATTTTAAAAAAATGGTCGACGCTGTAACGTCTGTCGTCCATCTTATCCGGAAGTTTTTGCCGGGGCGCGTGAACAAAACTCGCGGTTAAAAAAACTGAATATAGGGCTGCAAAAAATTCCGATACGGAGTCGATCATTTTCATTTTCATTTTCATTTTCGTAGCGCGGAAGTCCAAGACGAAGGGGGCCGATTAGAGAGATCGAAGTACATGGAAAATCTTCCTCCTCTTCGCAACGGCGACTCACAAATCGTGGTCCTCTCCTCCTCCACCGCTCTGTTAACATAGCCTTTCAATCACTCAACTGCTCCATTTCTCGCCGGCCGACGGGTAATCATGGACGTCGATCCTCCTCTCTACGACCTCATCGTGAGTTCTTTTTCCTCTCAATTTCTGATACAGAACTCATCGAACTTCATTGCTTATTCTCTTCAGATTAGTGAAGCACTTGCTCATTTTTGGGCTGTTTCATCGCCATTGCTCTGTTACTTTGTTTCTTGGTCAATTTGTGAAGTTTTAGTTGGACCCTTGACTTTCTTTCACTTGCTATCACAAATACATTTTTCTAACGCTATTGCTCTATCACTTCAAACGAGGACTAGTGAAACAATTGAAATTGCAGTTCCTTGTTCACTTCTATTCTTGTTAATATTTATTTGCTTGTTTAAAGAAACTAGTGTCTGGCATCGGATATCGGACAATCATTTTCTGTTTGCGTTAGTGTTCGACGCTTTAGTCATCTACTGGTTACTTGTTTATGTGGTGACGAGTATGCAATTGGATAGACATTTCATGAATTGCTATTGAGCTCAGATGGTACAAAGTTGTTTGCTTCTAAGTGAGAAATTTCCTTGTCTTTTTCTCTTTGGATGTAGAATAATATTTAATTTCTAACTTCATCTTTTCTTGTGCGATCACCCTCTGAAACTTTGTTATAAGTGAAAAAGAAATTGATATATGTTACCACAATGGTTTGACCAGTTTGATTATTGTTAATCTTATTTACTTGTTGTGCATTCTAAGAACATTTTTCTCACATTTTATGACAGGCTATCAATGATGGTGATATTCAGAACATTGTTCTATCGTACCTTGTTCATAACTGTTATAAAGAAACTGCAGAGTCGTTCGCTAATTGTACTGGGCTTAAGCAGCACACGGATTATCTTGTTCACATGGAAAAAAGAAAAAGTTGGTGAAATTTTCCTCTCTTGCTATATGGGAATTCTGACTGTTTCTTGCTGCACAAATATAAATTTACGTCTGAATGATATTGATTTAGTCGTTTCCTTTTTATAGATAGACTCTTCTGGTATAACTCCTGATGACTTATCTTAGAAATCTCTTGTAAGGAATGATGATCTATTTCCACTGTCTTATAAGTGGCCTTGAGTTTAGAAATAAATTCACTGCAATGCAACTCAGCGTGGATACTGATTTCCCTCAAACAATCTTAATGATATGCATTTAAAATTTATATAATCTTTGAGCTTAGCGTAACTTTAAATTTGTTTGTTTAGCACTAAATCTGATTTTATATTTCCTCAAAATTTGATCTAAAACTTTTGAATCCGATGGTAACTTTTTGTGTTTTCAGGAATTTATGATTTTGCAGTAGAAGGGAATGCACTTAAAGCCATTGAGTTAACAGAAGAGTTAGCACAGGGTTTACTTGAGAATAATGAGGACCTGCATTTTGATCTTTTAAGCCTTCATTTTGTTGAACTTGTATGCTCTAGGAAATGGTGAGCCCCCCGCCATCATTTACGTATCTTATCTTAACCTAACCCATTTCCTGATGCTTGATGGGGCATTCTGTATAACAGGTTATAATGTTTTATCCTCATTCTTGTTTGTTTACATGACAGCACAATGGCCCTGGAATTTGCTCAGGTCAAGCTTGCTCCTTTTGGGAAGTTGCATAAATATGTGGAAAAACTTGAAGTGCGTAGCTGTATCCTGACTTAGGATATCCTCTTATCTTTTCTGGCATTTCATTTTATCTTTTTTTTCCCCATCATTTCTTTGTTCAGCAGGCTGAACCAGCTTACGTAAATATGTAGAAAAGCTTGAAATACTAATCATTGTGTCATTGTAGGATTTTATGGCCCTCCTTGCTTATGAAGAACCAGAGAAATCTCCAATGTTTCATCTTCTTAGCGTGGATTATCGGCAAAGAGTAGCAGAAAGTCTAAATCGAGCAATTCTTGGTTTGTTCCAACTTTCATTTCGTGGCTTTATTTGACATTTTCCATAATGCTACAAGGGAGGTGCAATACAGATTTTAAATCTAATCTCCTATATTGTGTGTTCTACTCTGTATTCCTGTGTCTGGGTCGATATTAGCGCATGGAAATTTGCCGAGCTATACAGCAATGGAAAGGCTGATCAAGCAGGCGACTGTAGTTAGACACTCCTTAAGCCAAGAGCTAGGCACGGTAATCTGCACGTTGTAAATTTATGTTCTGGTTTGTGTATGCATGTATGTGCGTGTGTGCATGTCTTAACATGTGTGTATTTATTATCAATTGTTTCAATGTGCCATCTGTTTCAGTAATGTGCAACAGATGGTCCGGTTGACTATATTGATTTGGTTTATTTGTAGTATGCTTTTCACTGATGCTAATTGTGCCAGACAAGTAATTTTAGTCAAGGATCATGTCTTTTGCCTGAACAATTGATGCTTTCGAATTATTTCTGAAATTTAGACTTGGTTCTCTTAAGGTTATTAGCTTCTTGTTTCAATTTCTAGATGTTTTATAAATGATTATTACTCAACAGAATTCCATGTTAAGACTTAAGAGACATGTGGGTAGCTAATCTTTCTGGATTTGCAGGATGGGCTTCAATCATTTTCTTTGAGCGATTTTCTGAAGAGCTAATTCAAAGAGTTCGTTCTGGCTCACAGCAACGAGATGCATCCAGCTTCTGATCTTGTTGCCACCCACAGCTGTGGTATGGAAGTTTGGTCTTCTCTTTGTATGCTTTAGGTGCCGTGTAGGCCGTAAACTGAGTCATCTAGGTCCCCTGAGCAAAAGCTCGTTTCCTTTCACTTTGGTGACCTAGTTGTTCTAATGCCTTGTATTGTGTTTGTACATGCTGTCTCTAATTTTGCTGCTTGATTTTTTCTTTTGTTTTTTTTTTCCCCCAAAATTTATGTGTATCGAGATATTGGCTCAGTCATAGTCCGGTTTGTGGGAGAAGCTTTACTTTATTCATAAGATAGGCTTAGACCCTCCTTGGGACTTGACTTACTTTTTCATCGAATACTTTATAGATTCGAAAGTATTTGAAACTGATTGTCAAAGGGTGAGTTTTAATTTAGGTGTTAATACATCTAACGGTGGAATTAATTTTCAAAAATAGTTAAACAGAGCGATAAATTATTAATCACCATAATTATGCACAGATTATCTCATGGATGATTAGAGTATTAATCCTAATCATGATAATTATGCTTTAAGATTAATTGGAGAACTTTCCAGAAGATTAATTGTGAGAATGCTTTAAGATCTCCTTCTCTTCTTTATCCGAATTTAAATTTTGTCACAAAATAAATGAGGATTCATTTTGTCCTTCGTCCTGAATTAGTAAATTAATCTAAATTTTTGGTCTATGTAAAATACGTTATTATTATTCTCTCTCTGTCTTTCTAGGTCACCTTTGGTTCAAAATCGAGTAGAAATTGGGCTTAGATATTTGGGCTCAAATAAAGTTATTGGGCCTTTTTCATAAACATGGAAAATTGAAGCAAGCAGAATGTCAAGTGTCCAGTTACGTCATGGGCTCATTGGCGGCAAGCTCCCTAACTTGTTCATGATTCTGCAGAAGATCCCAACTCCCGACTCTGAAACATTTCCGTTTTCGGGATAATGTTGTCAATTGTTTCTCCTCCGTCGTCTTCCTCGTTTGTTCTCCATGACAGGAGCTTCTCCTTTAGCGTCTTCCCAAAGAGGTGTGGTTCTACTCTCTGTTAACCTCAATTTCTGCTCAATGAATTTTCTTCGCGTGAGCTCTTGTCATATTTCTGTTCTTCAATTGTAGTGGCAGCGATTAGTTCTTTATACACATACACGACATCTGCTTTTCCATTTCTTATACAAGCTTCTACGTTTGTTTGAAAATAACTCATTAATTTTGTTATCCATAGGCGTTACCGAAACAGAAATTTCTCTGGGTATTTGAGCTACAGCTCAATTAAGTGCAAATTAGCTAGGGTGGTGGACTCTTCCGCTAACCCAGCTACGTTAACGAAAGAACCTCATAAGTATTTTGATCAGGCTATCATAACAGTTCGTTCAGGAGATGGAGGACACGGTACAGTTCTTAGTATGCCTAACCAACAAACAAGCAAGTCCCAAGGAAAACATGGGAAGGAGAAGGAGAAGGCGAAGAAGAAAAGTTTGTATAAAAGGGACTTTGATGGGTCTCTAATTCTTCCCATGGGTGGCCGTGGTGGAGATGTGGTAATTTATGCCGATGAGGGGAAAGACTCACTGCTGGAATTCCACACCAAGAGCCGGTATAATGCAAAACGTGGTGGCAATGTTGATGCAATGGGCGTTTTGACCTCCCAATTGCACAATGGATTTGCTGCCCCAACTCTGCGCATTCCTGTTCCTATAGGTCTGTATAATGTATTGATTTGGGTACAAACTTGCTAATCAATATAAATTGAGTTGGGATGGATTGAATGAGTTCTTGAAATACTTGGGATCTTATTTTCCACTTACTTCTTCTGCGAGCTTCATGATTGGGTCTAGTTAAGAAATCTATTACACTTTCAACCTTGCCACTGTTATCATACTCTGCGTGCTGGTGTAATGATCGTACATGGGTTTTTATGCTATAGGTACTGTTATAAAACGTAAAAGAGGAAAATTGTTGGCTGATCTGGTCCATCCAGGTGATGAGATTCTTGTTGCTAGAGGAGGACAAGGAGGGGTATGAGTATGATGAACGTTTCTTCTTTGTTTACTTTTTACTAAACCGAGATTAATTTTTTTACAAAAGGTTTAGTATAATTTTTTTGCAGATAAGCCTGATAGATACGCCAGAGAGTAGAAGGAGAAAGCTGATGTCTCTGACCTCCAATGTGATGAGAGATGAAAGTGATAAGGTGAAGGTTATGAACATTTATATTTGTATTAATTCATGTGAGATATCAATGAATTCCTACCTTGAGATAGAAACAAGAATTTCGCATGAGAATTCGTTAAAAGGTGCAATGATATTTGCAATTGCAAACTTCTCTTCATATGTTTGATACTTATTAATCAGAAATACTTTATTTTTAGGTTCTGGTATTTGGTCAACCTGGGGAAGAGGTCAGCTTGGAGTTGATTCTTCGGGTAGTTGCCGATGTCGGTCTGGTTGTGAGTACATCCAGTTTATTTTATTTTACCCCTATTTTCTATATTTCTGCAGGTCACATACCTCTGTAATTTCTCTAGTAAATACATCCCAACTCTTACCCTTTATCTTCAGTGACTACTATCAGAAATGAAGGGCGGTTCGAACCATTTGTGGAGTTCTGAGTCATGATTTTGAACTACTTGTTACAATTGTTTTTATCTAACTACAAACGCTTTTCTGCTTTTGTTGTTATAGGGACTTCCCAATGCTGGAAAATCAACGCTTCTGGCAGCCATTACTCTTGCAAAACCCGATATTGCAGACTATCCTTTCACTACTTTAATTCCAAACCTTGGACGCCTTGGTGGGGATCCCAGTTTAGGAGCAGGAATGTATCAATCTGAAGCCACTTTAGCAGATTTACCAGGTCTTATAGAAGGTGCTCATTTGGGTAAGGTATTGCATAATGTTGTTTTTTTTCCCTTAAACAAATTTTGTTTGGAAGCTTTGATTTTCCAATCTATTATGTTCTTTAGGGTCTTGGACGTAACTTCCTGAGACATCTGAGAAGGACCCGGCTGTTGGTTCATGTCGTCGATGCAGCTGCAGAGAGCCCTGTCAATGACTATAGGACTGTGAGAGAAGTAAGCTTTCATCTTTGTTTTGTTTTGAAAATTGCCCTGCTGTCCTGCTGTCCGTGTTCTTATCGATACTTTTTGGTTCATTCTTCGGTCTCCTCATGGTCGTAACATCTTATTGTATATTCTCCTATTGTTATCAATTAGTGTTGTTGGTTGGTTAATCATATTAAATTAGAGTCATGTATTTCTTTGTGAGTTATACAGGAATTGCGGATGTACAATCCTAATTACCTTGAAAGGCCGTATGTTGTGGTGCTAAATAAGATTGACCTTCCTGAGGTTTGTGCTTTCATGATCTTCTTCACTTTTACTTTGTCCATGAAAAAAAGGAATTCAAAGCAACACTGTAAATGTTAAATTACCCTTTTCAGGCCAGGGATAGGCTTCCATCCATAACTGAGGAAATATTGAGAATTGGAAGGGATGATCTTTATCCTGAGCAAGTGGGGTATGAAAACAGTGTAGAATCGTCACTTCCAGAAGGCGATCTTGCAACTCCTTCGGAAATTCCAGTTGCAGGTCATCAGGATAGAGAGATTGAAGACTATCCCCGTCCTCTTTCTGTCGTAGGCGTCAGTGTTCTGTAAGTTCTACTCTTAACTTGTCTAGACTTTTTTTCTTTGGCTTTGAAACTTTAATATAAGATATTGTGAATGAATCCCTGTTCTGAGTTTTAAGGACAGTGGTTGAAACTTAAAACTAAAATGCTATAACGTCATGTTCGGTCTCATGTCGTTCATAGCTATCTTAAAACGTTAGCTTATAAGTAGGAGATGGTGTTGGTTTTGTGCAACATTTTCATTCTTCCCCCTCACCCTCACCCTCGATCTGTCCTGAAAAATTAACATTTTTGTTCTCAATATTTACCATTCAAATCTTCATTGTCCTCTCCAATGTACCATTTGCAGGAAAGGTATCAATATAAGTTTAATGTTGAAAGAGATTCGAGCAGCGTTGAGGAAGTGCAGAGATTCCGATGGAGTGTCGATGAATTTGGGTGGTTAACTGAAGTCAGATACCATTTACCCTCCCTCGTAATGCACTCAATTTCTTGGTGCTCAGTGAGAATGATGCACTTGATTTCACTTGGGATATTATCATTTTTGAAGGCAGCTGCTTGTGGGATCTATGATGTGCTTCAGCCCTTGGTAAGCTTTTTATGTGTGTATATATATATATATATTTCCAAGACTCAATTTACTGTGTCGATGAGAAATTTCATTTTATGGTTCAATTCGGGTAGCTATTAGGGAAGATTATGTGTATTATTCTTATTATTATTTGCCATTCAGATCCACTTTATCTTGATATTTCAGCATATCCACTCTCTCTATAGCTTTGAATTGGAGTGCTTTTGCATGAGTCTCTTTTTACATGTACTTGGCTTGCTTTTCTCAACAAATTAAAGTGGTTTTTGATGCATTGTTTGCAATTATTCAAAAAGTGACTCCCCAAACATCCAAATCCTTGTCTCCACAAATACTTTCTAAAAAAGATACCAATTTTGAATTAGTATAAGGCTTCTATGATAGCCCTTTCAAACATCCTATCTACTTAACTGAGGTGTACTCAGTAAGCTGTTATGATATTACAATGGTAGTCGAGACATGGTCGATTCCTTCAATCTAATGGGTTGTGGAGCGTTGGGAGAGGAATCTCACGTTGACTAATTAAAGGGCTAATAAGACAATATCATACCATTGGGAAGGTCCGTACCCTAGTCTATCGCTAACGGATATTGTCTTCTTTTTTTTTTTTTTTTTTTTTTTCAAAGTTTTTAAAATAGAAGAGATTTTCATACCCTTGTAGAGAATGTTTTCCATACCATTGTAAAAAATATTTCGTTCTCCTCTCCAACTGACGTGGGATCTCACAATCCATCTCCTCTTCGAAGCCCAGCGTTTTCGCTGGCACTCGTTCCTCTTTACATTCAATGTGAGATCTTCTTTCCTATAGATCTTAGGCTGGGAGAAAGAGCATATCTCGTGCATCCTAATTTTCAAAGTCTAGTTGTATATTGTTCTAACTTGGGAGTCAGTCGGTGTATCGTTTTCTCATACAATACATGCTTAATAATGTGGCATCTTTCGTAAGAGAGAAAGGAGTTAGGTAATACTTCAGTGTTATTCAGGTTTGATATCCTTGTTCCACCGACTCTCTCGTCCAATCTAGTCTCATGAAATGA